CCGATAGGTCTATCGAGCCACTCCAGACTTAGCAGTTGTAGGGGGAATCCCCTCCTCAATTGAATAATAGTCGATGGCTCACCTTTTTCCCTCACAGACAAGCAGTTCACCTGGCAGGGCTTCCGGCGATATGTTACATCGTAATGCGCACCCAAGATCCGCGTATCGTCCAGAGGTAAATTACCCCAATTATCCCATCATCCATTTTCATCCGTCGCTCATTTCCCCCTCCGCTGACGACAAATTCTGTTGCAGAGTTGTGTTGACTGTTGCCCTGGGGTACCTCTCGTGCATTCATTTTTACCGGCAAATGTATGATTACGGATCGTACAGCCTTGATATAACGGGTAATATATCATTTTCACCAGCGAAATAAAAAATGCTGTGAAAGAAACTGTCAATGTAATATAATACATGACAAATGACGCAATTCTGCAGGTCCACTGATGGTCATAACGCAGAAGGTGATAAGTCTTGCGTACAGCATTCACGATGGCTTCACGCGTCGTGAACCCGAGCTGACATCACTCCAGCGTCATCAGGCCGTGAAGATCATGCCAACTACACTGGAGTATTTCAGCTATGTGCTCCACTTTCAGGCGTTGATGGCTGGGCCCGTCATTTTTTACAGAGATTACATTGATTTTATTCATGGAACTAAACTCAACGGGACATCTTTTTCGGTATTTAATTTATTTAATTTATGTAATTTATTTAATTTATTTCATTCATTTCATTTATTTCATTTGTTTTGGAGATTCTTTTTTCCCCCTGATCGACGGATAGGGTCACGCATGAAAAATATTCGTAGAAAAACCTAGCGAATTCCCTAGACAATTCTAATCATGCCAATGTCATAGTCATGTCGGATCAATTTTGTTAAATTCTCATTATCATTGTTAAATTAATGAATAAACATACAATAGAATGATTTTTTCATTGAGTTCTTGTTTATAGGGATTCTACGATGATCCTTCCAAACATGTCGTCGAAATAGTTTTGGAGCCATCGCCTACCCAAATTGTGATGAAGAAAGTTGTCGCCAGCTTGACCTGCGCTATCCTTTTCGTTGTGTTCATTCCCATATTCCCAATTCAAAAAGTGAAAGGTAAATAATCACTTTATTAAAGTTCACTGCAAGATTACTGCAGTTTAGGGGTAATATTCAACAGATAATTGCATGTTTTTATTAATGAGTATAGTTATTGTTGCTGATCGATTAGGAATTTACTTCCGAATGGATTCTCTTAAAGAGTTGATATTTTTTGGAAAAATATCAACTTTTTCGAATCTGTATGAAAAATTGAATTTTAATTGGTGTCAATGAATGAAGCTTATTAAAATTCATATTCATGGAAAAAATCATGAAATTCGGTTGATTTCTTACATGAAAATTTCGAAAAATATTAAGTAAAAAGATCACATACATATGCATACCGACACTACCCAAAACTATCTATTGCATATATGGATTCTTTAGACCATATTTAGTTACACTAACATAATAAATTAAAAACTTAGACGTGAGCGATTACAAAGCTAGGGTTTAAGTACACTGAGAGAAAAACAAACACGAAATGACATTTTTTGCGTGTGCAGAGAATGCAAATTTTTGTTGAACTACTAAATCTATTTTTGCGACAAAAATTTTTCATTCCGGCGCACTCGCTGCATGTTTGGCACAAAAAATCCTTTTTTGATAATTCTTAAAGAACTATTTTCATGGGACAAGAAAGACTTGTTTGAGAACTTTGTCGTTTTTCTCTGAGTGTAGTGGTAACTCGGACATTGACGCTATATTATTCTGTCTGCAGACGACGAATTTTTGAACTCGTCGATGATCTATAAAATCTGGTACATGATGATCTCAACCATGATGGTTCGTTTCAAGTATTATTACGCATGGCTGTTCGCCGATGCAATCTGCAATAACTCGGGAATGGGATTCAACGGTCTCGATTCTGAGGGAAAGCCCCAGTGGGACTTCTTCTCGAACATAGATGTAGTTAAATTTGAGGTACAACTTGCAATTTCCAGTGACAAAAGTAACAAACTCAATCAATTGTGACTCATAACTGTTAATCATGGTTCCAATGATTTTAGACATCACTGAGTCTCAGGGAGTCGATCGAAGCCTGGAACAAAGGCACGAACAACTGGCTGAGAATGGTGGCCTATGAGAGGGCAGGCCGCTACAGAACACTTTTTACTTATGCTCTTTCAGCACTTTGGCATGGATTTTATCCAGGATACTACCTCACCTTCGCGACCGGAGCGCTGTTCACATTCGCTTCACGCACCGTAAGTCTCATAAAGTGATCTTCTCTTCATATGAAACAAATGAAAGAATTCATTTTTTATAAATGAGTAGAGTGAGTATTGCTAAAAATTAGCAATTTGCTTGCGAACGCATTCTACTTCTGTCAAATACTTATTTCACTATTCTCTTCCTCTATTTTTTCGTGTCATAGTACTATCATCAATGAAAATGTCATCAAAATTTTTGCGTATAATTTCGTTTTGTCAAATGATTCTCCGTTCAGACTTTCTATTAATCGACGGAATATTCTTAAAGGTTCGCAGAAGCATCAGACCTCTCTTCCTGGGCTCAAGGAACATGAAGTCGTTCTATGATGTCCTCACATTCATCACAACACGTGTCTTCATGGCTTATCTCACCTTCAGTTTTGTTCTCCTTGAATTCATGCCGAGTGTCAAAGTCTACATGTGAGTAATTAATGAATAATTGTGTAGTGTAGGGACTAAACAGTCACTTTCGTTCCAATTACGCTCCGTATACTCCGGTAATCTCGGTAAGTTTTTGTCGCACATTTCAGTAGCGAAGTCAATTTTGACTATTGGCCAGTTTTCAATGAATATCTCGGAATCTAAGGGAGATAGAAAAATTATCGTTATGAACTTTTTTGTAGAACCGATTAAGAGCTACAACAAATATAATTACGAAAATTTCGATATCTCCCTTAAATTCGGAAATATTCCTCAAAAACGCAACTGGGAGATAAGTCGACTTAAACCGCTTTACCACTTTGCTAATGCTTTGGATTAAGCCATTAGGAGTTTGATGAGCAGAATGTGGGCAGGGCGAGGCAGATTCTGGGAAATAATGGCTGTCTCGAAAAGTTCACCACGAACTGTACAAGACGTGTATTCTGTTTAAGAAAACTATCGGACATCGAATGATGATGAGAGGTAAAAAAGGGGATCAGCTTCTCGTTGATCAACGGCTTTTAACTCAACTCCTGAATGCACTTGAGGAACACAGAATCAAATAACCTCCTTCACAGTGTCAGGAAAGTGAGGCACTTATAGGTCTTATCTCTAGGTGTTATGTTGGACAGGCGAGACAGTTATTGTGGGTAAAACTTCTAAATTTTCTGAAAGTAAAACAGCAATAGCCTCTCATCATTCCGACACAAGAAACGGGCATTTTTCATTCGTCGCAGGATTAGAAAAATAAATAATGCGCAGAAGAAACGCAGGGAATGAGTAAAACATACAGCTTGCGGAAATTCAATCGAAAGGTGGATAGCGGAGATTTCAGATCCGATCAATTAGCCCCTCATGTATAGATATTCCAAATTTTTATTTTTTTCCTCATTGAAGTAGTTTTGAAGAAAATTGCGAGCTAATAAAAAACATTTGCTAGTTAGTACTTTTTTTTAAATAAATTTTTGGAAAATCACCTCTGAAAAAAAAGGCGTTATCCCCTCTATTTCATTATTTCCGTTGCTACAAACTCGTGTCTACAACTCGGGCCTTCAATTGAAAGCCCGAGTTGAAGACCCGAGTTTGTAGCAAATATGTCAGACAAGATATGAATGTTTTTTTTGGGCTCAAACGAAAGAGCGGGTCGAGAAATGGCGTGCTAGGACCTCTAAAGATGGTTTTGAACCAG